TTCTTTACACTCAAACAACCTGCAAAAAAAGCAATCCACTATGCGTTGAATTTTCATAAGGGATGAACGAGGATGAAAGAAATTTTATTTTTCACTTTCAATTTTTTTTTTTCCTATACAGAGTTTATGTTTCTTTAAACGCAGCACTACGCAGAGATGAAATTCTAAAAAAATTTACCTGAACGATCGTCAAACGTCAAAGAGGAAGAAGAATAAAGATGCGAGTGGCGGTTCGATCGACTTGCCGATCGACAATAAAAGAACGCGTACTCTTGCGAAAACACGATGAAAAGGTGGCAAGGGTGAAGTGGGATGAGCGGCGAGACACGTGAAAGAAGAAGGGAATGGAGGAGGAACGCGAATGGAAGTGAGTAGAAACGAAGGAGAAAGATGGCAGGGAAGATAGTATACAGGCGAAGGTAGACGAGAGATAGAGGCGGAAAGCGATGTTAACATAAGATCGAAGAGAGAACCAGAAGAGTCTGCCTCTGGGTATATTCTCCGTCTCCCTAATTGGATTGCATTCCAAGCAGTAGCGAGTAATGGACCAATTACAGTAGCTGATGGCAAGAGCAACCTATATGGCTCCCGAGATATCATTACTTCGTTGGATTAGAGAAACTCATACGGGGGTTTCCGCTCTGATAAATAAAAACTTCGACCGATCTTTTACCACTCGCGCCTCGCTCTGCGTACCGGTTTCCTGCGTTTTCACTACCAGCCTTACACCCGGGATAAAATGAAGATAAACTCCCTAAAGGGACGCGATACACGTCGATTCTCAAAAGGGACCAATTTATCTTTCCTTCTTCTACTGTTCTACTTTTGATCATTTGTTACTTTGTGAGCAACTGCAGTGTCAAATATCTAGACACTTTGACTTTATAGCAACAATAAGGTCTACACATGTATAATTAGATTCTAAAAAATTATATCATTCTGTATTACCATTTATGTCCTCCATGAAGTTGAAGAAACATAACATTGAAGGAGGATATGAACTATATATCTATGAATATACTAAATATTTTATTCGTCAATTGATCCTTTGTCCTCGAACAATGTTATTAACAAAAATGCAAATTGATTTAATTAAAAAATGAAACTTTTCGAAGCAAGATATTTTATGTGATTATATGCTCACGAATGTAAATTAAAGACCGAATGTCGACGATATAAAAATATTCATCTCTTTGAGTAAAAGCAGCTTGTTTGGAACGTACCTTGATGTGAGTCATACGATGATAGTAGAGATTCGAGGAGGCCGTAAACTTCTTACCGCAAACGAGACACTGATGAGGTTTTTCACCACTATGGATTCGCTTGTGCGTATTCAACGAGCTCGATGTTGAGAAACCCTTGTTGCACACCATACAAACATGCGGTTTCTCTCCTTCAATTTAACAACAAAATCAAATTACTTGACCGATGGTCAATTGTTAAAGGACTTACGTCCTTAGGTGTAATAGATTGTTACCCTTTTCAATCATGTCATATTAAAATATCCTTTCCCGTTTTCAAACCAGTATTTCCACAATAAGTGAATTATGCAACATCTCTCTAAATTACCTGCGTACTTATCATCAATTACATTAAAAATCTTTTCTCTCATTTTAAATTCCATTGTTTCTTAAATTCATGCAATGATGTAACATTAATGCAGTGTTAATATCTGGTTTGAAAATCACTGATTAACACGAATGAATTATTATTCGCTACCTGTGTGTGTTCTCATGTGACGTTTCAGGAGAGAAGGTCGGTCAAAGGATTTCCCACAAACTTCACACGGCAATAGTACTCTCTCTCCTCTTTTAATCGTCGTTAAAATACTGCAGTCTAAATGATCCCCTGTCAAAGATAACGTCGATGACGAGGATTCCTCAGACGTAGACTCGTATTCGTCTACCTCGTAGTACGGATGTGAAATCGTTGATGACGAATGATGAGACAGCAATGCCATGGATAAGTCTAATGGGGATTCTTAAGCACAAAATCGTGTTAGTAAACTTTATCATTCAGATCTTATTAAATGATGGACTTAAGGGAAGAGAGATAAAAATAAACTTCTCACTTGATAATAATAAACAATACTATTTTTCCATCAAATCCCTCATATATTCATATCAATAAAATATTCATATTGTAATAGTGTAATTTCAAATTATAATTTTCTTTTCATATATAATAAGAATTAATTATATAATAAGGAGCTATGTAATAGCTATATAACATTATGTGCCAAATATATATAACCAAGTATATATAATTTATAATTATTCTAATACCATCGAAATAAAACATTCCGTTCTCTTTGAACATACTCCTTCAATAATGTTCACGCTTTTACTCGTCTTTACACGGAATTTTATCCCATCTTCGTCTATATCGCAATTCTACCTTATCCCATATAATAATATCAATTTTCTCGGTTTCTTTCAAGGTCCGGTCTCTTAGCAAATATCCCTGATCGCGACTGTAACCATCCCTCTCATGGTCACCCGTTTATCCGGCGGTTCTCTTCTTCGGTCGGCGAGCCCTCCTGTTTGGAATTGAAGGTTCGCTGGCATTGTACTGTCTTTTATATCCCCCGGTAAGCGCGGGGGTCTGCGCATTTGAATCATGAGCGAACGAACGAGCACCTTGTGATCCAGCCGACAAAAATACCGACGCATATTTGCATTTCAGATTTGTTAGCCGACTTTCTTTCCTTCTTTTTCGATTGGCCCGCGATTGCGCCGATTAACGCGATTGCACCCGGTCGAGATTTCAATCGCCGAACACGGCCTGGCTGCTCTACCTTCGCATCGGCTTTCACAGCGATTTTTTTGCTGAAGGCATGAACTTATATTTTATAAACGAATTCGTGCCTATAATATTCTTAGAAATCTTTTTTGCCTTTGATCCTTTGCAGTTTTCCGGAGACACTATTTAATGTTGTAAGATGCGCGAGTGAAATTTAAATTGATGCATTTAAATGTCACTCATTCGTGGGTCTGTGATTTTTGTATTATTTAAATCTTTAACTCACCATCTAAAATGGAGTCAATCGTGCATCTGTACAAAGCAGACCTCGAACACATGTCGTGTGGTATAAAGACGAAATCTTGTTCCGCCGTAGGAAGAAACCAAGCCACTAATTCCGTATCCGGTTGAACATCTTTTATTACTTCAAAGATTGGATCTCCTGAATCATACAAACAGGAAAAATAAACATGAAGAAGTGAACGTCTAATTAGATTTTACTAAAGAGAGTGTATCATTCACTAAATGTAGAAACTATTTTGCAGAAGGAATACATTTAAAGATGCACCATGCAAGACGTGTCTAATCTATGTTGTAACATACGTGTAACACGGATTTGAAGTTTAAATATTCAGAGCAGACTTAATTTGTCTATTAAATGATTGCATACATATAATGATGATTATCAATATAAATATTAAAATGTTTACATATAAAATGTTAAATGTTATTCAATATCCTGAACAAATGATATTTGTTACTTATACACATATTAAGTTCTGTAACAGAGTATTATATAATTTGAATAGAAAATTTATCACAACTGACATGGATGCACGGTACATCATTTGCTACATCATGTTGAATCTCATAATTTATTTTATTTTTATAATGTTGACGTACCTTTCACTTTGGTACCAATTAAATTTACTTGTTCGTCGTAAGATTGAACTATACGGAGGAATCTTATCCAATTGCACTGACGCTTGTTAAGGCTGTAATTTGAAAGGAAGACTTCATCGTAGCAGCCGTATTCGCGTCTGATCTGAAACAAATCGCAGTTATGAGAAACTTGCGTTGAGAAAAAACGTAGAGAAACGTAGAGAAAAAACCGTACGGGTTGATCCGATTATAATTGCTACCAATGTATATAAAACATTGTAACGTGGCATAGCATGATCTTTCTACATTTAAAAAGAACTTAAAGCAACGAATTTTTCTTTTCAACTTATTTCTGTTCTTATTTCTTTTCTTTTATCGATCGACCTAATTAAAATAAGAACAGAGGGAGAATTCTAATATTCATCGTGTTAACTATTCCATTAAATTTTGTACCTATTTTAATAAAAATTATATTTCAAGTTAGACATGAATTACAAAAAGTCATAAAATAGTTATGTTTTTTAGTTGAAAATGTAATTCAGATTACAATGAAAGAAAGTATTAACCTTTAATACAGGCATCGAATAATCAAGAAAATTGAAAGCCGCATAAATATTTAAGTTATTTAAATTATAATATAGTTAAATTGCTCGTTGATAAGACATATGTATATATATACTTGTGTTTGACGAATTTCTTTATTATCAAATTATGATGCGAATCTTTAACTCTCATTCAGATTTCTTAAACAAAGGAATTCAGATGACGATTTTTTTTACACGATAAAATACAGAGCGATACGATCGTTTAGAATTATTATTCGTGTATCTCTAGCTATTATATCCTATTATCTTATATTCGTTATATTCTCTATTATAGCTTCAACGTACGAAAATGTTTTTGCAACCACTCTAACTCAATACTTATAATCTCGAAACCATCGCTCAACTTTGCAAAGTCTAAACTGTGTATCTATGTATCAGCGCTGATTGTTGAAGAAACATGAAAACTCTCAAAGACGTTTATAACACAGACAAGAATTTAAGCGTCGAAATATGTTATACTTACATCATTGTCATCAAGAAGGGAGTAAAGGTCGATCTTGTCGAATCGAATGGAGCCCTGAAAGGGGTAGATCAACGTCCCTGCCGGAATAAGCACGTTCGACCATACGGATATCCTGACGTCTGTAACTAAACTGCCTGAATCATTCTTGAAGAGGCCCTTGTAGTTTGATCGATCATTCGCTAGTGCCAAGGAAAACTCTTTTGGTATCAGAACGCACGTTTCCATAACAGAGGCCCCGTAAAGGGTTGCTTTGGGGAAATCGCAGCTACCGTTGTCTCCACTGTTGTAAACACTTTTCTCGATGGACCACACACGACAAGATCCTCAATTCTTTTTCTTGAACTGAATGTTCATTATCAGATGACCGATTAAAATGGCTAAACGTCGACGTTCTTTGTCAATTGTTCCTGTTCAGAAATTTTATCTTCGGCGAGAGAAATGATAACTGAAAGGTGATAAAAGCGATTTGTTGAGTTTGCAAATTTTCGTCAAAAGCCACCACTTTCCTCGAGATTGAAGAAAAATTAATTTTTCAAGTACAAATACAGAGAAACACTGTGTGTGTGTGTGTGTGT